GCAGATCTGAAAACATTTTTTTAAGAAATAACCATCGCTCCCAGGTCAGCCCAGCCTTGGGCGGGTACCAGACAAAATTCTGGGCTCTCCTTGCAATAACGGTCGTTAGTTGGACGGCGACGGCCGCTTAGTCGGAGTTCAGTCCCCTGGCTACAGTGCAATTACGGAGTGGAAAAGAGGGAATGACACAAATGACATGATTAGGGCTAGGGGTAGGGTTAGGGTTAGGGTTTGGGTTAGGGTTAGGGTTAGGCTAATGTGAGTCGCAGCGCATTGTCTAGACGCCATGTTGAACTCACTGTGTTTTGTGATTCATGCCTTGTCCACTCTGTAATTGCACTGCTGCCAGGGGACTGAACTCCGACTAAGTGGCCGTCGCCGTCCAAGTAGCGACCGTTATTGCAAGGAGAACCAAATCCTGAAAAGTAAAGGTGACCGGCGTGATGTTGACCACATCACCTACCAAGTGCTGACAATATAAGTCTAGCCCTATAGGCCCAGTAAGCCTGAAGGCACCGAAAAAGGGCCCTAACTTACTTTACTTCACCACAGTTTTTATTACAGTATTACTAATGTTGAATGATTATCTCTTTCACTTGCTGAAAAAAAAGGGTAAACTGATATATTATCGTTGTCAATTTAAGTATGAGAATAAAACAAGCTCCAGTGGACCAAGAGGTGAAGAAAAGACGCTGGCCTTGGATAGGATACACGTTGAGAAAGTCTGAGAACAGAGTAACTATAATTTTTTTGGCAGTGGAACCCACAAGGGCATAAAATTAAAGGAAGACCAAAACACACATGAAGACGGGAGCTAGAGAGCGAAGTTGAAAGGATGGGAAGGACATGGGGAGAGCTGCATGCAATAGCAAAGGATAGAAAGACTTGGCGTGAGTTGGTTGAGGGCCTATGTTCCGTTGGGGATTATAAAGGCAGAAGAAGAAAAGGAAGAAATTTGCCGTTAACTTGATTTCATTGGAATAATATATAATTACTGCTGTCTAATTGTAGAATAATGTATAATTACTGCTGTCTAATTGTAGAATAATGTATAATTACTGCTGTCTAATTGTAGAATAATGTATAATTACTCCTGTCTAATTGTAGAGTAATGTATATTTACTGCTGTCTAATTGTAGAATAATGTATCATTACTGCTGTCTAATTGTAGAATAATGTATAATTACTGCTGTCTAATTGTAGAGTAATGTATAATTACTGCTGTCTAATTGTAGAGTAATGAATCATTACTGCTGTCTAATTGTAGAGTAATGTATAATTACTGCTGTTTAATTGTAATGTATAATTACTGCTGTCTAATTGTAGAGTAATGTATAATTACTGCTGTCTAATTGTAGAGTAATGTATCATTACTGCTGTCTAATTGTAGAGTAATGTATAATTACTGCTGTTTAATTGTAATGTATAATTACTGCTGTCTAATTGTAGAGTAATGTATAATTACTGCTGTCTAATTGTAGAATAATGTATAATTATTGCTGTCTAATTGTAGAATAATGTATAATTACTGCTGTCTAATTGTAGAGTAATGTATAATTACTGCTGTCTAATTGTAGAGTAATGTATCATTACTGCTGTCTAATTGTAGAGTAATGTATAATTACTGCTGTTTAATTGTAATGTATAATTACTGCTGTCTAATTGTAGAGTAATGTATCATTACTGCTGTCTAATTGTAGAGTAATGTATCATTACTGCTGTCTAATTGTAATGCATAATTACTGCTGTTTAATTGTAATGTATAATTACTGCTGTCTAATTGTAGAGTAATGTATAATTACTGCTGTCTAATTGTAGAATAATGTATAATTATTGCTGTCTAATTGTAGAATAATGTATAATTACTGCTGTCTAATTGTAGAGTAATGTATAATTACTGCTGTCTTATCGTAGAAAGTCAGAGATATTGTCACACCCATAATGCTGGAACTGGAATTTAATACTGTGTCCAACTCTTTTGGAATGGCCAGCATGAGTGTTAGTGAACCAGTCAGGAACAAATATAATCCAAATGTGGTCAACAGTATGGTGAGTTAACATTTTATTTATTCTACTAACCTCATCTTATCTAGGTAATTATGGCAGTGGAGCTCAGGAGTTGTGAACACTAGGTGCACATGTGATATTTGTTGTGTTAATTTTTTATATAATATTGGTTATATGTTTTATAGCTTGTTTTAAAAGTTGTGTGCTCAAACTTTTTTGTACGGATCAACATGAATCTTTGCATGTGATTTGAATAGATTTCCCATGTCATTATAATTATAATTTACAACTGCGCAGGTGCTACTTTTTTTATTAAAGGGATGAATTTCTTTGATCTTTGTCGGACTAATTTGTGTACATCTAAAAATTATCACTAATCAGGTGCCATAAAGGTTTGCTGCAATGGATCTCCAACTCGCTCTGTCTCTTTTCCTAGTTGTACACTCTCTCAGACTGCTGCCCGTCCATCTTTTGATATTGTCCTTCCACTTGTATCATTGCCTACCTCTTGCGCTCTTGTCTTTGACCTTTTCCTCCAGTATAGTTTTAAAACGTGTGTTATGTCTTTAAATGTGGCCAAAGTATTTTATTTTTTTATTTCTTTCAGTAATTCTCTTTTTATTTCTAGCCTTTCCAGAACCTCTGAATTGGACTGTTTTTTGTTTCCATTAAACATTACCTATTCTTTTGTATGCCCACATCTCCTGTAAATATCTCTACAAATTATAATATACAGTTATTGACACACATTAAGATCAGGTTATTGTGAAACATCTTTGGACTGAGTTAGTTATGTAAATGAGATTATGATGGAACATGACGTTTCCACTTCACTATTCAAAATAAGTGCACCTTTTTTTTTTTTTCACACGAATTACCTCTGAAATATGTGAAATCTGATTTTTTGCGAAGTTAATGCCTCTCCCCCAACTGTAAACATGCTAGCTGTATGTTTTTAAACTGGTCTTTGTTTTTTCATGTATCGCAAATAAGGCACACACATACAACAAACAAATACATGTTTGTTTAAATTGTAATTCTTTTCCGACAAGGATATGATTATTAACAGGTTGCATGCCATATTTTAATAATTTACACCAAGCCTTTGCTGAGTTACAATTTTTTAAACTGTTGGACACGAAATGCTAAATATAGTTATCTCTGCCTGTGACGCTTGACTGCCTGAAGATCTTGAGTTCATATCTAAATCGAGGTGGCTTTTTAAAATCTATAACAGACATTGCCCCCACCCTCCCCCCAATGTCAGCTCAGCCTAAAATGGGCACCAGGAATGTCCTGGGAAATAAAGATGACCACATGGTCCAGCGAGTGTCGACTGCTCTATAAAAAATATAAGTCTAGCATAACATGCCCAGTGTGCCACTAGCAACAAAACAAAAAAATTATATTTGGGGAAAAAAAAGTTCTTTAATTACTTACCATCTTGCCTTTGTCCATGCAGTGTATATTTACCTTGGTCTGTTGGCAGCGTTGTCAAATTGTATACTGTGTTTCCTGAAAATAAGCCCTGGCGTGATATTTTAGGATGTTTTTTAATATAAGACACACTCCAAAATAAACCCTAGCATGATATTTCAGGATGTTTTTAATATAATACATATTCCAAAAATAAACCCTAGCACTATATTTCAGGATGCTTTTAATATAAGACATACTCCAAAAACAAACCCTAGTTAACACCCTCAGCTGAAATTAGAAACTGTTGTCGATTGGCCAGCTGAAATACAAATGCCACTAAATCAGGCTGGAATTCTAGATTCAGATAGTTATGGTAATGTTCCGGAAGAAGATGAAATAACAGTATTTGAATAAATGTAGAAGTTTGCATCTAAAAAAATAAGACATCCCCTGAAAATAAGCCCTAGGACATTTTTTAAAGCAAATATTAGTATAAGACCCAGTTTTGTGTTGTCTGGTACCCAGAGAGTTAAAAAAAAAAAAGCTACCCTTCTTGGCTAGGTAACTTAAAGTCCCTGAACTGGTGTGGGAAAATTGTGGATAAGACAGACAGTTGCCCACATAAAATATTACACTCTGAACACCTGCATTTGCTTTCACTTTACAGATCGTGTTTGCTTTGGACTGTGGAGAAGATCACATTTGTAACTCTAGCTTAGGCATACAAACAACTGCTATATTTGATAGTGGTGGCAATTATCTCATGATTGATGATTCGCCATCGTTTGAGTTGGAAATAGTCATAACCAACTCCGGGGAAGTATCTTATCTTACAGTGGTTACCATAGAGTACCCTTCAATTGTTGACTTTTCATCCATGACTGTGATTGAAGGAACCACAAGCGTGAACTGTGTTCCAGAATCAGAAGAGGCAGACAATGCCAGTTTGCATTGTGATATTATGTCACCTGTAACATCAAAAGAAAAAGTGAGTGTTTCTAGTCTTTGTTTTCTTCTTTTTCTTCGCGTTCACCAGCTGTACACTCTGGCATAAAGTTCTGGTTGTTCGTCCACTTCTGGACTGCAGTCCTGCTCCAGAACCTGAGTGTTGCGTGTGCATCAGTTTTACAGATCTGATTCAATTGAATGCAGACTGCTGGTTCCTTGCCTCTCAGGCAGATGCACTCCGACTTCAAAGGAAGCTCCCCAGTTAGTCGACTCTTATGACATGCTTTTGGGGAGGCAGTGGGTCTATTCTTGTTTTCCCTTACAAAAGGGCCCCGGAACCCACACGGGGGAGTCTTTTTTTTAATATGGAAGTTTTACATTACTGGTTTTGCTATTTGTTATTTTGTTATTACTTCTTTTGTCCAACTGCCTAAGTGGTGAGGAGTCGCAGAAAGTAGTAATATGTAGTTGTTTGTTGTTTGCTAGATGTGTTAACTGCGTTCATGACATACTGAATTCCTTAAGTGTCTCTTTCATTCTCTCCATCCATCTCTTTCTTGATCCGCCTCTTGCCTTGTAGCCTGCTGTTCAGCTAGCAGCTGGAGCGTAATGAATGATAAGGCTGATTTATTCCCTTCTGTCCAGATGAACAAACCATTTGATTCTTTGATGTAGTATGAAATATTTGTTTTGTGCTTATGTTATCATTTAGTCACTTATTGATTAAAAATTGTTGTATAGTTAATTCAGTATGTATATTAAATGTAGTAAACAACCTCTCAAATACCACTGGTGTTTTCGGCATATGGTGATAAATCTATAATTTTACACTGGCATTTGATGGGGTGATCTAATGTACATTACGCTGGCCACGTTTTCTTTCTTGGATATTATCCGGTAACAATTTTAGACTGGGTCAACCTGGGAGCCAAGGTTCATTTTTAAAAACAAAAGCCTCCTCAGAATACATAGAATTACATTTAAGTCTCAGTCATTTCCAGTATATATTCCCCGTCTTGGTTCTCAGGTCCCATTGTTTGGTTGGGGGGGGGGGGGGTGTTAGACCTACTGTCCCCCTAACAAACATGTTGTAACAATTGACTAATTAGGGGGTGTTTCCTTCGAAGTCGGAGGGCATCTGCTTGAGAGTTAAGGAACTAATGGTTTGCATACAAATAAGCTAGATTTATAAAATGGATATGCTTGCAAAACTCAAGTTCTGGAACAAGACCAAAGTCCAGAAGTAGATGAATTACTAAAACTTTCTACGGAAGTTTACACCTGGTGAATGTGAAGAAGAAGAAGACATTTAAGTCTCAGTCATTGACAATGCTACCAGCATGCATAGGAAATTACATTACAATATAAATCAAATTTTTTTTTTTTTTGGGGGGGGGGGGGGGGGGGGTTCTTAAGGAGCCACATCAGACTGATTTTGTTTGTTTGTTTTTTAACTTACCTTATCTGTCAGTCTAACTTACCTTATCTGTCAGTCTAACTTACCTTATCTGTCAGTCTAATTTACCTTATCTGTCAGTCTAACTTACCTTATCTGTCAGTCTAACTTACCTTATCTGTCAGTCTAACTTACCTTATCTGTCAGTCTTACTTACCTTATCTGTCAGTCTAACTTACCTTATCTGTCAGTCTAACTACCTTATCTGTCAGTCTAACTTACCTTATCTGTCAGTATAACTTACCTTATCTGTCAGTATCATGTAATGTCTGGGGATGTAAAAGGCAACTGGCCTGATGTTGACCACATCACCCACTGCATGCCAACTTATCTACAAAATTATGAGTTTAGCATCATATACCTGATGGGGTGCTCTTTGAATAACAGCATTGGGAAGGAAGACTTGCCCAACATATCCTTGAAGGGTACTTATGTTGAAGGAAAAGATAAGCTGAAGTACTTCTGATTTGACATTTGATCGCAGTCTGTCCTACAAATATCACACGGAGCAGCCAGTGATCAAATGCAAGCGTGGCCTGGCGGCACTGAAGAGGATGGTGGCGACGCACATGGAACAGAGATTACTGGTCTTATTGTTCAAACATTTGGTCCTTTCTGTAATCAATTATGGCCTAGGAATACTAACCTTATCTGCTTCACAGTATACAAAGCTTGAAAGAATTCAAAATAAAGGAATGAGAATCGTCTTGGGTTGCACACGAGAAACCCCAATTAGAACATTGAGGTATGTGCTTAGGCTAACACTAGTAAAGTCTAGATTGTTAGTGGGGCAAGCAAAGGCCTATATGCAAGTTACCAATGATGAAAGGCATCTGCTGCATGGTAATCTGAACGATTTAAGAGAAGACCAGTTGAAAAGAGAAAAGTCATTGATGGTACTAGCTAAAAATACCAACAAGATGGTAGCCTCAGTCAAGCAAATACAGGAATGGATCGACACGAACACCCACAACAGCAGTTTCCATCAGGTCATTATCACATAAGGAAGAGAATGTAGAGAGTGATATAACGGTATGGCAGAATTAGAGGTACAACAACTGAAAGATGGAAAGGCTGGGCGAGATGATTCAGTGGTATATACTGATAGTTCTATTCATCCTGGTGTAAGATGTGGCTGGGGATTTTCAGCTGGGACAAAGGGAAATAATGAACAAAATGGCACAACAAAATGGAGCTTTTTTTTTTATCTACAACTTCAAGCATGAGAATGAAAGTGGAGGCAGTCACTGCAGCTCCGAAGTGGATAGAAAAAGTTACCAGAGGAATTATTGTGTCTGATTCTCAGTTGACATTGCATAAGTTTCAAAATAGACTAATGTGGCATGAGTGGATACCATGCATCAGTACGCCAACATTGCAAGGAATCATGTGGATATACTGTCCGGGATATACAGGAGTGCAAGGGAATGAAAGAGCAGATTTTTGGCTACAAAAGCGAATATTACGGGAATACTCGTACTGGACAAGAGAGATATTCTGAAGACCATATAGAAACGACTTTTGGCAGAAGACATGAGATTAGAGGAAATAACATGGGCAAGAATGTGTGAACAAGAAAATAAGTGTGGATCCAGCAAGGAGGGACAGATGAAAGGAAGAGATCAGCGTGTGTATAATCAGTGTTCTATGGGAACAGTTAGCATCTTCATCTTACCTCATTTGCTGCAGGAGATGGAGCATCTGTGGCTATGCCCAGTGTGCTATGATGTCAATTCTTAAATCAGTCATCAGTAATCAATAATACCTGATGTGCCACTGGTGAAAAATTGTCTTTTACTTTTGTGTTTTTAAACTTTCTTTCATATACCAGTTCAAATGATTGCTCCACTTTTTAGTGATAATACATGATTTTAGCTAAGAGTTTAATTCGACAACTAAAATTTTTTTTAACTCTCATACATGAATGCACAGATACAAATGCACACCATTAACACATTCACATATACATGATTACATGCATAACTATTTTTGAAGGAACCTGAAATATAAGACAACTAACAGATTTAACTTCAATCAGGTGGTGTTAAGAGCCAGATTTTACACCTATGGTATTCCATATGACATTCACAAACTTGAAGTGAAAACAAAAGTAATATCAGTGAGCTCTAGCCTGAAAAGAAATAGCAGTGAAGTGGAAAATGTACTTATCATTCCAGTACGAATGAGGACAGACATTAGATTTTATGGGTATGTATGATTTTGATGTTTTTCCAGCATGACACGACTGCTAACTTGCCATGTGTAAACTCCTTAAAACTGTTCACAGTACTGTATTTAATCAATTGAAAATCTAGGTGAAATTTTACTAGACTCTTGTACAGGATCTGACTTTCAATGAAAATGTTCATAAACAGAATTATGTCTTAGAAACTCAAATACCATATTCTTTCCTGTATAAGATATGTTACCCACATTTTTTAAGTTTAAAATTGAGAGGTCATCTTATATGCGGAATGTGATTTTAAATATTGTTCTTAATTTTGAGCTTCAAATAAATTGGGGGTGTCTTATGCAGGGGGTGTCTTATACATGGAAACATTTTTTGGCAATACTTAATAAAAACCTCTTCTTCTTCTTCTTCTTCTTCAGCATTCTAAGCCCTTGAGGTTTATTGCTGCAGATATCACCGGCCTCCACTCATCTCTCCTCCACTCATCTCTCTGATTGGCCTTCTCTTTCCAGTTGGTGACACCAAGTAAACGCTTACTTGGGAATATTTGGAGCCGAAAATATTTTTAGCAGACTTTGAGCATAATTTACAGTCATCATCAAGTGCCTTGACAACTGATGCTGGTGATCATGCTTCTCCATATCTTGATGTTCTGCAGCATGTATTAGTTCATGTGCTGCCACCCATTTATACCATGACAAAAGTCTGTCATAAACCATCTCTCGTTATCTTCCTCTTTTTCTTTCCAACATGTTCTAGGTTTTCAATTCTTTTTAATGTGACTAAAAAGGATATATATATATATATATATAATATACATATATATATATATATATATATATATATATATATATATATATATATATATATTATATATATATATATATATATATATATATATATATATATATAAAATTTTAAAAAGTTAAACAGATAGGAAATAATAGAAATCAGAGTTATTGATCGGTTATATATTAAATTAAGGCACAACAAAATTAATAGTCACCTACTTAAAGTTTTTTTTATTTTAAAGAATGCTAATTAATGTTCTCAATTTTATTTTAAATGTTCCACATACCATAAACTAAATTCACTTTGTCATTATTTAATTTCATGTTGGTAATTATGTTAGTTTACAGTAGAACATCGGGAAGAAAGGCCAGAGGAAGACCCAGGAAAAAATGGATAGATGGAGTAGCTGAATACGGCCAGAAGATCCAGAAAACAGTCACTCAAATCACGCGAGAGGCACAAAACAAATATTTTAAACCACGACACTGGGCTGCAACCCCGTAAAAGTGAAGAAGACAATAGATAGATAGAATTATGTTAGTTATTATATAATATAGTAGTTACTTTTCCACTGTATAGTTCCACTGTATCACTTAAGTAAATATTTGTTCAATGTACTATCTTGTTAAAGATAATGACTAATGTATGAAATTGTGACATTATAATAGAGTATCAATTCCTGGACTACTGGCTATGCCCCATGAACTGATAACATTACGTGAAGAAGATATGTGGTCACATTTGTCCCACATTTATATCTTGCGCAACCTAGGCCCTAGTCCAATGCCACATGGTCAGCTGACCTTGTCAGTCCCAGTGTCAGACTGGGTAAAGTTAAACAATGTCCAGGTTAGTATGTTATACAGTGTTTTTTTTTTTTTAGAATCAACTGTGTGTGTGGGTGTGAATATGTGTGTGTATGTGTGTGAATGTATGGTCACGAATTCATTGTTGATTTATTCATAGGTGCAGTATTTATGGAAATCATTAAGGACCATTGGTGGAGGCTACAGAGTGTGTGCTTTGTGTGAAACTTTTGGTAGGCGACCAGCCATGCTGTGGAAAAAGACTAGGCCACCAAAGTTAAAACATTGTGTAGTAAAATTAGTCCTCACCTCTCTTCTTCTCTGTCACTTTTCTTCACTTAATTTTTACCGCTTCAGGTGTTGATGGAGACATACAGTTCTGCTTCTTGCTTTTCTGGTGGTCTTGATCAAAGAAATATTGTGCTGTTGTAGCGTTTCTCTAATGTTATATTTCCATCCGGTTCTTGATCTGCCTCATGTTCTCGTCCTTCATCTCAGTCAGGGTATGCCTTGTATTGTATGATGTCACAAGGCATTCTAATCTAAGTGGGCAACCCATTTGATTTGCTGTCTTTGAATGTAACTTGAAATTTGTTCTCTGCCAACTGTTTCTCTTATGACCACATTCCTGATTTCTTCTTCTTCTTCATTTCATCGCCTTAGTGACATAATTGGTTTGTGACCATTTGATTCTTTGATGTTGTATGAAATCATTCACCAGAACTGTGCCTACCATTGTTCTCAGTACTTTGTTTGTGACCATGTCTCTTCTTGTTTTTGTTGTTTTCCTACTGCATTTCTTATAAATCTCATCTCACATGTTGTAATATTTGCATTTAAGCTTTTCTATAACTAACTGTCCATGTGTGACAATGAAAGCATGATATTAGTATTAATGACACATTTATCAGCTGCTTTTTCTGAAACTGAGAGTTTTTTTTTTTTTCAACTTTGTTCACTTTAAACTCATTTTAGATTTTAAATATAATAATCTGACTTCACGTCTTTTTTTTAAATATAAAAGTTAGTTGCTTATCCTTCACAGCAGGTCTATTCAACTGGCAGTCCACAGGCCAAATCTGGCATGCAGAGGTCCACCAAGTGGTCCGTGGATCATTCCCAGTTGTACTGTGTTAATGATATTTCTATTTTCGGCCTGAGCCTGTGGCCAGTGATGAAATTTTGGTCCCTGAGTAAACTTAGTTGAATAGCCCTGCTTTACAGAATGTTGCAAACTAATCCTAGTATTTGCTGGATCTTTGTGATCTTACCAGGCAAATTGTTCAGCAGTTTGCCATGTTTTTCTGAACGGTCAGTCCTGAATAGCACTGTCGAAATAAACGTACAATAGTCTGCTGCCAAACTGCCTGCAGATGAACCAGACAGGGTATTTCAGAGTTATGAATCATGTTTTTAACCCCTACGCACAGACGCTGAACAATGTTTGGATTCACTGACACTGAATGTTGAAATTTTAGTATGACTTTGAAATTTTAAAATATATACATATATACTAATTTTAACTGCCTGTTTATTATTGCAGATTGAAACAAGAGGCACATCAGATGCCTTTTCGCATGTACCAGTAGAATGCAGCATGCCGACTGACAGAAATGAAACACACCCTAGTCATACAGATGAAAAAAGCAAAACTAAACATGGAGTTGATTCGATTTATTTAATTGTGTGTGGTAGTATTTGTTCTGTTAATTTAAAAAACCTTATTTAACTCCTCCAATCTGAGCAGATTATATATGCGGCTCAAAGAATAGTGAATACACTTAATAATTACATGATCCTCGAGTGATAAGCTTCTATTTCCACAACAGATTATTTTCTAAATAATATTCTCTTGGTTTTTGCACAGTTTTCTGAGTTGCACCATGGAAAAGATTGGGGCCTTAGTGTGTAATACTAAGTTGGCAGTGAATGTACTGTAGTAAATCTCCATTGTGGAGACAACATATAATTTTTTTCTTAAAGTACTAACAAATTTACTGAATGTTCAATTGATTACTCATTATGTGATATACAATTCTGAACTTATTTTCTATGTTTCTGCTGTAATCCATTCTTTCACAGTTGTTACTGTAGCCAGGCTCCTATTTAGGATGCTCATTCAATTATTTTAAACCCCTCTTTATATATTAACATACTTTATAGTTATGCTTTGCTGCTCTCAAAATTGTGCTGCCCTGTGTAGCTGCACATGTTGCACATGCCTAAATACTGCTCTGAATGTAACTCATTGTATGTATGATTTTCTTTTAACTCCCCAAGTCTTTAATGAAGTCAGTATAATCTACGCAAAATTTGTTTTAGGAAACATAAACAAATAAATGAGACAGAAAAAGGTAAAATTACAACACCTAATAGTTAATAGTTTCCAGTCTTATAGCTTTGAGACATAATTTATTTAAAAGATAAATAAACATTCACTTGATTTATATGACAACCATTAATTTAAAAACAAAAAATTACTTTGATTATTTCATCTGGCAGTTTCATAACATAGGTATTCTTCTTTTCAGGACTGTGAATTAGAAACCTGCTTCAATGTGACCTGCTATGTTGGACTCCTGCACAAATATGAGACTGTTTATATCAACCTAAGCTTGGCTATAAAAACAAATGTTTTGCAGGCTTTAGAGGTATGTTTTATTTACGCCTGCAGAAGATATGTATGAATATAACTTTAAAAAAATAAATATCAAAAAGAATTATTTTAATTTAAATCAAAGAGAATGAAGAAATCAAAACATAGACACAATAAAAGAGAATGAAGAAATCAAAACTTAGATACAATAAAAGAGAATGAAGAAATCAAAACATAGATACAGTAAAAGAGAATAAAGAAATCAAAACTTAGATACAGTAAACGAGAATTAAGAAATCAAAAGTTAGATACCGTAAAAGAGAATGAAGAAATCAAAACATTGATACAATAAAAGAGAATGAAGAAATCAAAACATAGATACAGTAAAAGAGAATGAAGAAATCAAAACATAGATACAGTAAAAGAGAATGAAGAAATCAAAAGATGATACAATAAAAGAGAATGAAGAAATCAAAACATAGATACAATAAAAGAGAATGAAGAAATCAAAACATATACAATAAAAGAGAATGAAGAAATCAAAACATAGATACAATAAAAGAGAATGAAGAAATCAAAACATGATACAATAAAATAGAATGAAGAAATCAAAACATGTACAATAAAAGAGAATGAAGAAATCAAAACATACATACAAAGTTATGCACCATGTAGCACGCCTGAGTATGAAGAGAATGCTAAGAGTTTTAGAAATGGTAAGTGATGCAATAAATAGTATGAGAGAAGAAACACTATACTGAAAAGGGGGGGGGGGGGGGGATTGCAAAACCATGACCTAACATGAATTGAAAACTATTTGTGGCCATATGGAGAGCAAAAAAAAATGAAAAATTTAAATGCATGAGATGAGATTACTAGAGCTATGTAATTAACATTATACATTTATAACCAACATGTGTTTCAAACATAGAGAGCCACACATTTTTACATGGTATAAGTGGAATAACTTAGATCCCAAAACCCAAAAAAAGTCAAGTTGATTTAATCCCAGCCAAGAGAATGGATTTTAAAAAATAACTAAATCCCGAGCAACGCCAGCAACTCAAGCAATCTAGGAAGCATAAAATCATGCAGAGGAAAAATGAAAGCAGAAATAGATACCAAATGTAACTAGAAGAGACAGGATCAGAAATAACAATATCAGAAAAGTAGTTGGGATGGAATCAGTGCTATACTACATCAAGACACAACATATGAGATGGTTTTGGCTATGTATCAAAACTACCACCAGATAGTGGACTTCTGAGAGCCCTGTCACTTAGACATAAAGAAAACATCTAGAGGTCAACCACGCAAGCATCTAAAGCTGTGAATACCAGCATCTGTATAGCACACAGCAAAGCTCACACTGGATGCCTCTTCAGAATCTGATGCGACTGCCTCCCCAAAGGCATGTCGTAAGAGTCGACTAACTGGGGAGCTTCCTTTGAAGTCGGAGTGCATCTGCCTGAGAGGCAAGGAACCAGCAGTCTGCATTCAATTGAATCAGATCTGTAAAACTGATGCACACGCAACACTCAGGTTCTGGAACAGGACTGCGGTCCAGAAGTGGACGAACAACCAGAACTTTACACCAGAGTTTACAGCTGGTGAACGCGAAGAAGAAGAAGAAGAATCTGATGCTGAAAGGTAGAGCAGCACTAGAGAAGAGGAAGAATATAGTAGCAAAAACATGTTTACATATAAAATTATAAACAGACACTTCCATCAAGTCCATGATGCTATCAGGGCTTTTTTTCATTTAAAAAAAAAAAGTGCAGGTACTCGCCACAAATAATGTCTAAACATGGTGCCTTAAACTGAAAAAATAAAAGAATTGAGCCACTATACAGATATTTATATAGAGCAGTCAGAACGTAGGTGCTGGGCTCAATATCACATCAGCCACCCATAACCCCCAGTAACATTTCCTGGTACCACATAAGACTGAATCAACCTGGGAGTCCTCGGCCAATTATAAAAATCAAGTTCAGTGCAAATTTGAGCCTAAAACCTTCAGAGTTGCAGGTCTAGCCCACTGCATTACTGTGGTTCTCATGGCTACACCAGAAAAGCCTTTTGTGTTGTACAGCTGACAGGCATGGTAATTGGTAACCTGTGTATATACAGCTTCCCCCCCCCCCCTCCCAGTTCGCTGCGGTATGCACTATCAGCACCATTTTTTTTTATGGCAAAATATTCTTCTGCACTTCTGTAGTAAACATTTTTTGGTGAGTATCTGCACCTTTTTAGACACTTTTTGTCAAGTATCCGCACCTTTTTAGACACTTTTTGGTGAGTATCTGCACCTTTTTAGACACTTTATGTCGAGTATCTGCACCTTTTTAGACACTTTATGGTGAAAACTAGGGCCATTTTCCCCAGAACGAAAAAAGCCCTACATAGGTATATTATTTTATTAATAAACTTCAGTGTAAAGACCCACTTGCACATCTGTAGGCATATTGGGCATACTGTTAGTGTTAAAATAAAAAATAAAGGACCTTTTCCACCTTTGCTTCATCACGCATATAGTGCTAGACCTGTGGGTTTTTTTTAAAGACCAGTCAGCACTCAATGGGTGTTGTGGTCAGCACCACGTCGGCCAACTTTACTTTCCAAGACCTTACATTGTACTCTTTTAGGCTAGGTCGAACTGGAAGTTAATGCCAGTGTAGAAAGAATCCACCTTGATGCGGACTCAAACCCTAGACCTTTGGACTAACAGGTGAACATCCAGCCACTGCGACTCTCTTGGGCATATGGTGCTGATCACATATTTTTATAGACAAATCAACACTTGGTATGTGATCAAGGCAAATCAACACTTACTGGGTATGTGATCAAGACAAATCAACATTTACTAGGTATGTGATCAAGACAAATCAACACTTAGTGGATAAATAATCAAGACAAATCAATATTTAATGGGTATGTGATCAAGACAAATCAATATTTAGTGGGTATGTGATCAAGACAAATGAACACTTAGTGGGTAAGTGATCAAGACAAATCAACACTTAGTGGGTATGTGATCAAGACAAATCAACACTTAGTGGGTTTTGTGATCAAGACAAATCAACACTTAGTGGGTATGTGATCAAAACAAATCAACACTTAGTGGGTATGTGATCAAAACAAATTGACACTTACTGGGTATGTGATCAAGACAAATCGACACTTACTGGGTATGTGATCAAAGACAGATTGACACTTACTGGGTATGTGATCAAAACAAATTGACACTTACAGGGTATGTGATCAAGACAAATCAACACTTAGTGGGTATTTGATCAAGACAAATGAACACTTACTGGGTATGTGATCAAGACAAATCGACACTTACTGGGTGTGTGATCAAAACAAATGAACACTTACTGGGTATGTGATCAAGACAAATCAACACTTAGTGGGTATGTGATCAATATTACACTGGTTACCTTTACTTCCCATGATATTTTCCCACACTCATTGTAAGCTGTGTTGATCTAGGAATCCAAATCAGTTTTAATGAACCTCCATGGGGAAGGGGGGGGGGGTGTTCAAACCTATGACTACCAAGCTGTCAGCAAAATAGTATTTCAGTAAACCCTTTTTAATTCTTTGAGTCCCACAAGGTGTTAGCTAATGTCTGAGGGAGGTAAGAATGGCAATACTAAACTCATGGGTATATTACTTCCATAGGGGCCAAATATCTTTTCAGAGTCATACATAACATTTTGATTTATACATGTAAAAAATATCCAGCTATGCATAGTGCCTTGTTTGGAACATGCAAGGCTCAAAACAATTACTCTGTCCGTGCTGCCCCCCCCCCCCCCATTTTCCTTTACTTAAAAAAAGCTAATTAAGGGTTTGCTAAAATCAGACATGTCGGGCTGAAAAGCCCATATATTGCATCTTAGCTGTAAACCACAAAACAACATGTCAGCTTCCCTTTAGATGGCAAATGCAGAAGAAAATACAACTACTCCACTTACAACTTTTTATAGCTTTTTCAGAATAAGAAAAGTATTTAAAATGCTTGATTTGAATATTTTACCAGGATTATGATAAACTGGATGTGGTGACTTCAGGACTTCTCAGGAAACCCGACTATAAATCTTACAACTCACTGACTCCAGGCATTAGCACCATGGTAAGACTGTGATGCGTCTATCCTAGATGTCAGCATTTTTGCCATTGCTTGCATTTATCCCCAGTCGATACATGTCCAAATTACAAAACTATTTGATCTGTCTATATCCTCTTTATGTGAATGTTGGAACATAAGGTATCCACAAGCATTACAGGGGCTGAAACACTCTGGCAGATAATTCTGGTTGTTTGTCCACTCCTGGACTTTGGTTTTAATCCAGAACATGGAGTTTTGTGTGCACATCTGCTTTACAAATATACCTTATTTGTATGCAGGCTGGTGGTTCCTCAATTCTCAGGCAGATGAACTTTGACTTTGAAGAAAATACCCCATAATCGACACCTCCTACAACATGCTTCTCAGGCAGGCAGTGGGTCTGTTCTGTTTTCTCCAAAATGGAGCCCTAGAACCCACATTGCATACTCTTCTGCTTTACAAGCCTGGAGAGAGACAGAAAAGCTCTTTGTATTAGTCTTCGTGGAGGTGGTACTTTAGTACCGAATATCCCTTGGTGGGTTTCGGGCCCCATGAGGAGGGGAAGGAGGGAGGATGAAGGATGATATACCCAGCACCCGTCTCCCCTTAACAAGCATATCATAAAAGGTGACTAATTAGGGGTATGCTGAAACTGGATGTGTTGGGCCTAAAGGCACATATCACAACCTAGCTGCAAACCACAGCATGCCAATCACCCTTTTAAAGGTAACACACTGCATTGGGATGAAAATCTTTACACAAACCTCCCTCTGATAATTGCAAGCCATTCTCATGAGTAGTGAAGTAAACACTGATTCATTAGACTTGAAGAATTAACATAAGTATTTCAGAGGATTCACAAATAGCTTCAGTAAAGGATCTTTTGCTACACCTTCAGGCCTACTGGCATATAGTGCTAGATCTATATTTAATAGACCAATCGGCACTCTGTGGGAGATGTGGTCAACATCATGTCAGCCAACTTGACGACCATGACTTTACCTGGTACCCGTTTAATGTTTGGGTCGACCTGGGAGGCAGTGTCATTTCTGAAAAAAAAAGTAAGCTCTGTAAGGATTTGAATCCACGACCTTTGGATCCGCAGGTGAGCATTAGCAGCTACAGCACAGTGGCTCCCAAATAGCATTAATGAAACAATACAAATACTCTGACCTGACTCTTTATGTCTTTCTAGACGACAGTGCAGTATTGTGCTACAGATAGTTCCCATATGGATTCTGCCCCTCCCCCTTTTTCCATATTTTGTGTGGAGGGGGGGGGGGGGGGGGGAATAGGCCTATACTCACTGCCCACCAAACAAGCTTGTCATCTGCCTAAGAGATGAGGAACCAACAGACTGCATACAGATAAGTCAGATTTATAAAAAGGACACTCATATTATACTCAAGTTCTGGAGCAAGACCAAAGTCCAGAAGTGAATGGACAACCAAAACTGTCTGCCAGAGTTTACAGTCAGTGAATGAGAAAAAACAAAAAAGAGGTGATATCTATGGTGGCATAAGAATCACAGCCCAGTGTGATGGCGAGAGAAGCAAGACCTGCTCATATCAATAAGTTTTCCAGTTCTGGAATGGAATTTCATGACCATTGTTCTCACCACAAGTATTTCACGTACTGACCATTTCTTAAATCTGTGAACATTGTACTCTTTATTCCTGTTACCTCGATATTTTTTTTTAGTGTACTGTGCCGACACACTTTAGTAGACATCATATGCGCACCTAGGTCAACCCAGCCTTAAATGGGCACCAGGTGAAGTCCGGGGAAGTATGGGTGTCAGGTGTGATGTTGACCACATCGCAAAATGAGTTCTGATGGATCTATAAAATATAGAGTAGCACTGTATGCACAAAAGATGTAAAAGGGTCCTTTACTTAACTTTTATTGTAATATGCACTTTTTCGTAAGTAAAAAAATAGAAAAAAAACCTGCCTGTTACTTTCCTGATTTTCCTCTTTATGCATTCCTTTGAACCTGCCTCAATTGCTGTATCACCGCAAATATTCACTGTTGAGTTAATTGATCATGGTATAAAACGTGATTGAGTTATCTCAATTGTCTTTTACCAGACAACAACATACGTTGTATACAAAGCCACCCCAGGACTGGGCATTACATGGTGGCTTCTGGTGATTAGTATTTCAAGTGGTCTGTTGCTGCTGTATATGCTCACTGTTCTTTTGTGGAAGGTTGGTATTTGGTTGTATTGTCTTACATAGAATAGCATAAATTGTAGTACGTTAGTGAAAATAATGAACCCTTTTTTTTAAAAACATCCTGGCACATCAGGCACATAGGGATAGACCTACATTATAGACCAATCAGAATTTGCTGGGTGATGTGGTCAACATAATGCCAGCCGCCTTTATTTCCCATGACTTTACCTGGGACCAACTTAAGGATGGGTCGACCCGGAAGCCAAGGTCATTTTTGATAAATGTGCGGCTCTGTCAGGACTTGAACCCATGACCTTTGGATCCTCAGACAGCAATAGTCGTTACACCATGGCGACTCCCCATACAACGCTATACTCATATTTTTAATAGATTGACTAGCATTCACATCATGCCAGCCATTTTTACTTCCCAGGACATTACCTGCTACCTGTTTTAGGCAGGGTCAACATGGAAGCCAAGGTCAGCTTTGAAAAAAAAAAGACAATCCATTCAGTTCAAATGTGAATCTGTACTTTAGCTACTTCTCTACCATTGATAAGTAATCCCTTGTATGTTTTAGCTATTTTGCTTGTAATCTACTATTTTATTATTGAAATGGTTCTATATGTATTATTGAAATGTTAGTTTATTTATAGTGTATATTAGTTGGTCAATTTTTTTTAGAATACAACAACATCAAATACCATCACAGGCACTACATCTCAGAAGATCAGCTACAAGAGCAAGAGGACGGCCACGAAAATATGAACTGACATCATTAAAGACACATTACACCTTACCCGCATGACAACAGCACTGGATTGCAATTCCCCCCCCCCCCCCTTTTTCCATGATGCTTATTAGCAGAAGTGTTTATGATGATGATATATTATTTTGATATTTCATCCTTCGAAGTAGGAGTACATCTGCCCAAGAGACAGGGAACACAATAAAACAGATGTGCACGCAAAACACAGGTCCTGGTACAAAGCCAGAAGTCCAAATGGACAAACAACCAGGACTTTCTACCGGAATTCACAGACGGTGAACAAGAAGAAGAAGATTTGGCTATTTCATTTTTTTCTTCTAGTAGTGTTGATGTGAGAATACCTGCAAAGCAGATGTGTTTTAGCCATTTTGCTTGTAACGTATTGACTTTTACTGAAATGTTACTGAGGCGTAGAGGTGCTGAAGCACACATGGTGGTGCACCAGGACCAATGCTATAACTGGTGAGTGCCTATCTACAGTTCTTGGTGGTCACCCTAGAATCAGATTCTCAAGTGGGAGCCTGGTAAAGTTAGTTAGGATCAACATTTCTTTTGAAATCACTGCGTCTGCCTGAGATATAAGGAACCAACAGTCTTCACACAAATAAGCCAGATCTGTAAAATGGATGTACATGAAAGATTCAAGACCTGGAACAAGTTCAAAGTTCATAAATGGACGAACAACCAGGAATTCCACCAGAGCTTATAACTGGTAACTACTGAATGTAAAATTTGCCTAGGAAAACCACAACAGCCAATAAATGCTGGGCTGATTCTGCAACGTCCTGTAAAGGATACACAAACTTTTTAATTATTTTTTTAAATAACTGGTGAAAGTAAAGAAGAAATGTTACTTCTGTTGCTAGCATTTATTCAACTGCTTTTTTATTAATAATTAATTAATATTTTCTTCTGACTAGTGTGGATTTTTTAGACGCAAGAAAAGAGAAGAGCTGCAGCACCTGATTTCATCTTCAGACACTGAAAGAGACAACCTACACTCTGATTCCTTTAGTGCTGACTCAGGAGATATCATGATCCCTCCATCAGGGCACATTTCACACATGGCAAACCACAACATACACAATTCAAACTTGTTTGTTTATCCTCACCTTGAGCCACCCCATCAACCACATGGCCATGCTTTTCAAAACCATGATTTTTTTCAAAACCACAGCCTAAACAGAAGAGACGTTAACCATGGATTTTCTCATGTTTCAAGTTTCCATACATTGCAGTGCAGCAACAGGAACCTAAGAAACGTGAACCCCTCTAGAGATTTCAACAGAAATGAGCAGCATCCTGATGGTAATAATCCAGTAGATGCAAATCAGAATGATAATCCACCAAAACGTATTTGGATGCCGCCACCACCAGCACCTTCTTCACAGCCATCTTTTAATAATGATATGTATTTAGAACCACTGGAGTCCAGAGCATAGATTATTTTTCCTTAAAGGACCTGCTGTGTGACACTCACCAGCCTGTCTGCCCACAGCATTCTGTCTCATATATTGCTAAACATTTCTGTTGGGTTCCCTATGTGGGTTCCCTGTGGGTTCCAGGACTCCATTATGGAGGCAATAAGAACAAACCCACTACCCTTTAAACTTTTTTTTACTCCAAAGCAACACCTGATGTGTTAATAAACCCATTGGTACCCCTGCATAGCATAATGTGCTCTATTATTTGTTATTTTTTTATCAGAACACGCCAAGGAAATCTGACTTTCCCAAAATGGCCACTACCATTTTGAAGTTGCCAGTTGGAAAGTAATTCTTTAATGATTTTTCTTCATGGCTACTTCTTCACTTTGGCACATCCTGTGAAACTTTCTGGTACCAAAATAGTAAAGAAGCGTTTTGTAGAAGGTGATTAGTTAGGGTTTCACTGAAATCAGATGGACTGGACCAAAAAGTGAAGTTATTTATTGCAGCCAAGCTATAAACCACAACATGCCAACCACCTGTTTAAGGATGAATGCAGAAGAATTTTTTGTTAGGTGTTCCTCCATGCCTTGATGTAAAATTGACTTTTTTCTTTCCTCTTGGCCTCTTTTCTTCTCCAGTATTCCTACT